AGAAATTAGGTGAAAAGCACAGATTCTAGAACTATTTGGGGTTGAGATCTCATTCAGGATTTTGAACCACTCTCTCTGAGTGTCAGGCACCTAACTGCCAACACACAAAGTCCAGCAATCTAACCCACTAATCCACCGCACCCATACAGTGCTTTCACTAGTACTTTACATAGTTTATAACTTACAGCTGTAACTGTAAGTGTACTGAAATATACTACGATTTATAAACGACCATTTCTTGTAGGAGTTAGATAATTATCATGTACATACATTATATAGATACATAAATAGTATTAGTAAATGTGTACTGCTGTACTGCTTATACTTGGTTTATATTACTGTAGGCATGTGTGATTGTGTGTGCATGCATGTGTGTGCTTAAAAGATTTTACTTAGGTGTGCCACTTAAATATTAGAATAGGAGGCAACTATTGATAGATGCCTTACTGCTGGCTTCAAGAGGCGTGTTCTGTTATTCGAGAAAGGCGACGTACACAATTACTGATTCCATAAACCTGCAATCCCTACATAATCGTTTTATAAGTTGACTTTTTGTTATTTACATGTACTATCATAATCATGAAGTTTATATTTATTAGTTGTTAAGAATACAACATGTTCAGTGACTGACTGCAATTCGGGTATAGACTTGACCAGTTCCATTCATATCTGTAATTTGTTTTGTTCATTTAGAACTATAACAAGTGTTAGTGGCAATGTCCCCACCACTAAACAAGAATGAAATATAACATATCTTTTGGTCACACAGAAGATTACTTTTTATGTGATGTAGTTTTGAAAATAAGGTCAAGGTCACCCAAACTGAGTGTTGGCAGTGCAATTCCCCAATGTAGGCTGTCACCAAATTTGAAGTCATTGAGTACAACGTGCATGAAATATCGTTAACAAAGAGTTGGAAAAGTCCTCAAGGTGTCTTGGTGACCTTGAAAATAAGGTCAAGGTCACCAAAATGTACTGGTGTACGTGTAATCCCCAATGTAGGATGTCACCAAATTTGAAGACATTGAGTACAACAGTCCATGAGATATCACGTTAACAATAATCGAATGCGATGCGGGCTGCTGAATACATAGTAATCGCCTTAGCGATCCATAGATGAGCATTTATTTCAATTTAAATGTGAATAAGGACAACAATTTCAAGATGGTCTCCAGCTTAAAACAGTGTTTTTGTAATTATGAGTTAGAGGATATTGGTAATAAATAAACTCTCACAAGTTCTCTCACATATTTGTCAAGAGTAGCAAATCTACACAGGAAGCCAAACTGACTGCCTCTCTTACTGGCACTTGGTGATGGGAAACTACACATCAGTTGAATTCCTTGTGTATCAGCAAATTATGGAACTGATCAAGTTAGGCCTTCACAGGCAAGTGCAAAGAGTGAATGCTGCTTTAAGATACAGTTATCATTACAAAAATGGTAACTACTTAAAGTTTAGACCAGAGAAACCAGTGGTATATATAGCATGAGCAACGATCAATGGTGTCGGGTGTCACATTCACCTGGCCCTGATTTCTTAAAAAGATAATACTCAGGTGAAACATGAGTAAAAACATGAGAACTCAGAGCCTGATGTCAGCTGCTGACTATCAATCATCAGAGAGTGGCTCACAGTACAAGCATGAGTACAAGCATGGACCTCCCACATGGTACACATGACGGTTACCTGGATCTACGAAACCCTTCAGTGTCTCCCGTGTGTCCTGACTGAGGGTAGATCCTGGAAACATAACACATCAGGTGAATGTCATGAAGCTCCAGACTGAACTGTGGTATAACAGTTGAAAGAAAACAATAATGCATACTGTTTAGAAATCTACTCTTCTACCCAAAACAGTGGAAAATTAATCCAGTTGACTCTTTAATTGATATCAACCTTTTTCAAAACTTATTATCAAAAAATACCAAAATATGACAAAATAACATCCATTTTACTTACATTAGGGAAGAGGGAAACTCGTATTTCACATAAGTATCTAAGTCCTTTTTCAAGAATCTGAAAAACAATGATAAAAGTTAGAGGCATATAAAGACTTTCCAGAACTATGTATCTATGATAATATTATCATAGCAGCTGTGAAGATTTCAGATTGATGCTAAAGATTTTATGCTAGTTCTCCATCAGGAACTTGATGATACAGTTGAACTTGATGGTCTGAACTCCAGATCATGAACCAATTTAAGGGTTAGGATCTTGTTCAGTAAATGTACCCACCTGAGGGGAATAGGTAGTTGTATTGCTCTAACAATGCCTAACTCCAGGTCATTGTCGCCCCTGCGAGGTCTGTGTTGCATCTGTAACAGCAATGGTGTTACCCTAATTACAACATCACCTTTTTATTGTAAAGCAGAGCGATACTTAAAACATACTGGTAATTCTCAGACACAGCAATACATGGGCATCAATTTGCTTTTGTTGTAAGGCCAGCTTCTTTAGGCAAATTACTGCATGTACCCCTTTGAAAGTAATTCACAAAACTTGATACTATCATGCATGTGACCCACTGGTTGTCAAAGCATGTCTTAAAAATCAAGACAACAACAGACAGTGAAGTGAGTTGGAGTTTTTAAGCTCAAAGCCACATCCATGCTAGAGGACCAAACAGAATGACTCTTACATACAGTTTCCTAGCAAACTCCCTGTGGAGTACAACCCACCTGCTTCACAGTGCAAAAAGTTCAACACATTTTTTGGTATTTTGACATATATTCTAAGAACAATTTTTTTAGTGAAGAGTGTAACCGTGAGTGTCAGTCATAAATTACATCTCAGCTCAGGAAAATGGCTGGCTGAGCAGGATCGGGAGATCACTCACTTGACAATTGAGAAGCTCCGGGTTTCATAGTGGAACTTGGGCACAGGGTCTCCATGCAGCTTGGCATTCTTCAATGCATCCAGATCCTTAGAGGATCAGTACTGTGTGTACTGAGATGTATACTCTAGGACTGCCCCATGTACCAGGATCAGTACTGTGTGTACTGAGATGTATATTCTAGGACTACCTCACCCGCATCAGTACTACACACAGTACCATCAAAGCCATGACATACTCACTTAGCAGCGGAGGCCACGTCTCCCAACTTGGTGAAGTGCTGGGAATTAGTGGAACATATCTGAAACAGGAACAACAGCACATAAAGCAGCATGCTATTCAATACCTTAAGCACAACTCATCACTGTAATTTACTCATTGTAGCACTTTCATCACTGGTCAGATTAACAAAGATGTAACTTGTCAGCCAACATAAGTGCCACTCATTGACTTGAAACAGGGTCTGGGCCAGGCAAACCATTAACTATAAACATAAGGAACCATCAATTCTAGCTGGATATGTATTACAATCACACCATTTTTGCTGGACGACCTTCTCTGCTCCCTGGAGCTCTACACATTTAAGGCCTAACAATTTAGTTATCACACAGAGCCAGCCATCTAGCGACAAACTGACGATTTACTCCCACTTTGCCAGTAGTTAATCCGACCACAGTTTACGAATATCAGATTATAATTAACACCCTAATTAGCAAGGTCATGCCTGGCTGGTTATTGCCAGTTTCTGAGCATGATGACCAATGAACAGTGTTCACCACATGCAAAACAATGTTAGTCAATAAGTGTTCAGCTTCAATTTGCTTCAATTTGCAGCTTCAATTATCAATTTTCTATGCTCTCACCCACTTAGTGGGATTGTAAATATTTGCATTGTGTTTGTATTTGATTAAATGACATTACATGATTATAAGTCATATATGTATCATTTATTTATCTGTAACTTAACACTAATCATCTTCTTAAAATGATAAAAATGTTAAAGAACATTACCTAACTATAAATTTCATATGTACAATTTGTTTTTTTTTGTATATCTGTAACTTTAACATGAATCATATATATTTTTGTAAATTTTGTAAAATGAAATAAATTGGCAAAGTGTAGAACTGACGTGAGTTTTAATCCCCTACTAATCCCCTTTGTTGCACTATTAACTTCTATTAATTGCTTGACAATGAAACTGGCAAAGAGGGAGGACACCAAACTGACCCTGATCTGCCTGATGAGATCCTGTTTGAGTGTTTCGAACACCTCCTCCCTGTCCCCCGTCGGTGTGCAATCATCCGCCTCCACAACAACAAACTTGTCCTCTTCCTCAAAGTCTGCTATCGGGGAAGGGGGAACCTGCAAATTTGTATTGAAAAACTATTTCCATTTGGGTATGTTATCTGAGGCTTGTCAGTTTATCCGATTCAATGAGACAACTGGAACAGTGATAAAACAACTAAACTGTGTGTCATTATTATTGTCAATATGCTGTCTTTCAACAAGCAAAGTACAATAGTTTCATGACCTTGAACTAAATGGTGTTAAAATAACAAAATGGTAGATGATAAAGCTTTGCAAATCAAGTTGGCAACCCATATTGACAGTGTTGTTCATGCTCATAGTCATGCAAGGAAACTATTTCAAAAATCCATTTGGCTTGTAGTCATGTATCTCTATTTAGTGTTTTGATACAAAATGTAGTTGGAGCCTGAGTATATATCTTCTGCAGGACTCCGTCCTGTCCCTACCTGTGCCAGATCCACCGGGAGGCCTGCTGCTGCTGCCTGTAACATGGGCTTCATCCCCTGTGGAACAGATGTTCAGTATACAGAGAGGTAATAGTATGTTTTTAAACACACAGGTAACTGGCATCGTAAATGTATTGATTATTGAAAACTGATTACAATCTGGAGGATATGGAGTACTTTATACAGGAAATACTGTTTAATGTGGAAATGAACAGATAGTTTTACATCAAAAGTTCTTTGCCAAATAGCTACCAAACAGCTAGCTAACAAACTCAGTAAACAACTTTAGAAAAAAATACATTTTAACTGAAAGCACTTATTTTCATTTAGAGATAACACATTGATAACAGAGAATAATACAGAACTACCACAGGGAGATAACACAGTGGACACCTCATAACTACCAAAGGGAGATAACACAGTGGACACCTCATAACTACCACTGAGAGATAACAGTCAAGACACAAGAACTACCAAAGGGAGATAACACAGTGGACACCTCACAACTACCACAGGGAGATTACAGTCAAGACACAAGAACTACCAAAGGGAGATAACACAGTGGACACCTCATAACTACCACAGGGAGATAACCGTCAAGACACAAGAACTACCAAAGGGGGATAACACAGTGGACACCTCACAACTACCACAGGGAGATTACAGTCAAGACACAAGAACTACCAAAGGGAGATAACACAGTGGACACCTCATAACTACCACAGGGAGATTACAGTCAAGACACAAGAACTACAACAAAGGGGATATAACAGAGGACACCTCATAACTATCACAGGGGGATAACACAGTGGACACATAACTATCACAGGGAGATAACACAGTGGACACCTCATAACTACCACAGGGAGATAACACAGTGGACACCTCATAACTACCACTGAGAGATAACAGTCAAGACATAAGAACTACCAAAGGGAGATAACACAGTGGACACCTCATAACTACCACAGGGAGATAACACAGTGGACACCTCATAACTATCACTGAGAGATAACAGTCAAGACACAAGAACTACCAAAGGGAGATAACACAGTGGACACCTCATAGCTATCAAATGGAGATAACACAGTGGACACCTCTTAACTACCACAGGGAGATAACACAGTGGACACCTCATATTTACCACAGGGAGATAACACAGAGGACACCTCATAACTACCACTTAAAGATAACAGTCAAGACACAAGAACTACCAAAGGGGGATAACACAGTGGACACCTCATAACTACCACAGAGAATAAACAGTCAAGACACATGAACTACCAAAAGGAGATAACACAGTGGACACCTCATAACTACCACAGGGAGATAACACAGAGGACACCTCTTAACTACCACAGGGAGATAACACAGTGGACACCTCATAACTACCACAGGGAGATAACACAGAGGACACCTCATAACTACCACTTAAAGGTAACAGTCAAGACACAAGAACTACCACAGGGAGATAACACAGAGGACACCTCTTAACTACCACTGAAAGATAACAGACAAGACACAAGAACTACCAAAGGGAGATAACACAGTGGACACCTTATAACTACCACTGAGAGAAAACAGTCTAGACACAAGAACTACCAAAGGGAGGTAACACAGTGGACACCTCATAACTACCACACGGAGATAACACAGTGGACACCTCTTAACTACCAAAGGGAGATAACACAGAGGACACCTCATAACTACCACTGAAAGATAACAGTCAAGACACAAGAACTACCAAAGGGAGATAACACAGTGGACACCTCATAACTACCAAAGGGAGATAACACAGAGGACACCTCATAACTACCAAAGGGAGATTACAGTCAAGACACAAGAACTACCAAAGGGAGATAACACAGTGGACACCTCATAACTACCAAAGGGGGATAACACAGTGGACACCTCACAACTACCACAGGGAGATTACAGTCAAGACACAAGAACTACCAAAGGGAGATAACACAGTGGACACCTCATAACTACCACTGAGAGAAAACAGTCAAGACACATGAACTACCAAAGGGAGATAACACAGTGGACACCTCATAACTACCACAGGGAGATAACACAGTGGACACCTCATAACTATCACAGGGAGATAACACAGTGGACACCTCATAACTACCACAGGGGGATAACACAGTGGACACCTCATAATTACCACAGGGAGATAACACAGTGGACACCTCTTAACTACCACAGGGAGATAACACAGTGGACACCTCTTAACTACCACAGGGAGATAACACAGTGGACACTTCTTAACTACCACAGGGAGATAACACAGAGGACACCTCATAACTACCACTGAAAGATAACAGTCAAGACATAAGAACTACCAAAGGGAGATAACACAGTGGACACCTCATAACTACCACTGAGAGAAAACAGTCAAGACACAAGAACTACCAAAGGGAGATAACACAGTGGACACCTCATAACTACCACAGGGAGATAACACAGAGGACACCTCATAACTACCACTTAAAGATAACAGTCAAGACACAAGAACTACCAAAGGGAGATAACACAGTGGACACCTCATAACTACCAAAGGGAGATAACACAGAGGACACCTCATAACGACCACTTAAAGATAACAGTCAAGACACAAGAACTACCAAAGGGACATAACACAGTGGACACCTCATAACTACCACTGAGAGAAAACAGTCAAGACACAAGAACTACCAAAGGGAGATAACACAGTGGACACCTCATAACTACCACATGGAGATAACACAGTGGACACCTCTTAACTACCACACAGAGATAACACAGTGGACACCTCTTAACTACCACAGGGAGATAACACAGTGGACACCCAATAACTACCACAGGGGGACAACACCAGAGAACTACCACAGGGAGTTTACAGAGTCCCCTCAGAACCACCACAGAGAGATAGATTATGTGTGTACTCACATGCATACACCTCATGTAGTTCTTTGCCAACTCAATCTCATTGTTCCGCTTGGCCTTGAGTGCAGCCTGCTTGAACTCTTCATAGCGCTCTTGGAGGAAGCGTTCCTGTTGTTCTGCACGTGATGAGATGCTCTTCCTTGAGCCTGGATAGAGAGCCGGCAAATTCAGGTTTAAACTGGTCTTGATTGACGATCAGGATGCTGACTATGCCACATTGGACCATATTTCAAACACCAATATTTCCTTTGTTCAACAGTATCAGTTCATTGGGGGTATCAACATACAGCTAGTGGAGCAGTTTCAGAATGAAGTTATGCATGTGTGGTGATAAGTAGTGCTGTAACGATGCATCAAACTATCGATGGATTGCAATCGTTGAGTCTCCGATAGCAATTAATCAATGGTAGAAACGAAAAAACTATCCATGCATCGATAGTATGTGTGACTATCGATAGTTTAGTAATAGACTTCGGTTGATAAATGCGTGCAGCGCAAAATACAGGAAGTACCAGAATCATTTACTTTGATTCAGAGGTATCCACACCTGTTACCACTTAAACAAACTTGATCTGGGTTTGAAGTTTCTTGTCAGTTATCAAAAGAGACTGAGACTACTTCAACGTGTTAGTATTTCATATAAACTATACATTCATTTGAGAAAAGACTTCAAATGACACAATTCAAGGTTGGTAGCAATAGACTATTGCAATAGTATTGCAATAGTTAGTCATAATAGACGCTATCTCATAATATTTGTTTCTGCCTCAATAGTCACCCTTAGTGATAAGTAGAATGTAATGTAAACATTAGTAATATCAGAGAACCTGTCATTTGCTTGTACAAGTTCTACTCACATACCATCAAGCAAGAGGTCACAATTTTGGAATGAAGACAAATGTCCATAGTCATCTGAGTTATATCTTGAAACATTTTAAATGAAAACATGGGTTTTACCACTTCACTAAAACAAATTACAAAACGGTAATATCATCTGCTACATGTAATCAATCTGTGACAATTATTCTGTACAAGGAAACTTTTTGAAATCCAACACTCTTTTCTTCTTTGTGAGCTTTATATCACTTGAATCAGTATTTGATTCAAGTCTTATCAGAGAAGAGTGAGCGAGTGACTATGGTTTTACGGCACTTTAAGCAATATTTCAGCAATATCATGGTGGGGTACACCAGAAATGGGCTTCACATATTGTACCCATGTGGGGAATTGAACCTGGGTCTTTTGCGTGAAGAGCGAATGCCTTAAACAATTAGGCTACCCCACTGTCCTTATTAGACTGACTGACTGACTGAGTTTAGTTTTACGCGGCTTTTAGCAATATTCCAGCAATATCACGGCAGGGGACACCAGAAATGGGCTTCACACATTGTGCCCATGTAGGGAATCGAACCCGGGTCTTCGGCGTGACGAGCCAACGCTTTAACCACTAGGCTACCCCACCGCCCCTCGTCCTTATTAGAGAAGAAACAGACTTGTGTGAGACTGTTACATGAATGGATGTAGCACATCAAGGGTGAGGGTGAGTCAGAGAGAGCCAGCAGTAGCCCCACCTACCTGCCGTTTTGATGATCTGTGGCTGCTGTGCAGGGGCAGGCCTGGCAGCTGCTGGAGCTGGTTGAGGTGCAGCTTTCTGTGGGGAGGGGGCTGTCTGACCCTGGGGTTTTGCTGGAGGTTGGTTGGAGGGGGCTGCAGCCGGAGCAGCGTTACCAACAGGGATAGGAGCAAAACCTGAAACATGTAGGGAAGTGATTCAGTATCATTATAGAACACATCACGGAAAAACAAGCAAGTGACCTGGATACGCTTTGTGGACTGACACCCTGTGGACTGAACAGGGCAGCACCTGCAGCACACACTGCAGATTGACAAGTGACTCACACAGAAAATGTCATCTGGGGCTGTGGACTGGCCATGGACTGGGACTCACCTCAGTAACACACTAGGTACTGACCAGTATTATACCTGGCACTTTCCCTCTTTCTCACCTGGCACAGTCCAACTGGATGCACAAGCAAGTTACCTGGTGCACACCCTGTGGACTGACGAGCGACTCGCCCTGGTAACATCCTAGGTACACACCTCTTTCTCACCTAGCACAGCCCCAGTGGTTGCACACCCTGTGGAAAGGCGGCGACTCCCCTCGTCCTGACCAGTATCTTACTTGGCATCTGGTGCAATCCCCTGGACTGAGCAACTCACCTGGGGGTGAAGGCAACTCCGAGAAGTCACACTGTCTCCGGCTTTTCACAGCCTTGATAGCATCTTGGTATTGCTGGAACACACAGAAACACGCTACAGTATGTGAACGGTGTAATATGTCTACTACACTCACAGCATCAAACTAGCCTCCATCACAAAGGAATGTCTATTATCAGCACACTGAAGTACCTTGGATATCCGGCCCATCCTCCTGGCTTTACTGCCCTCCCCTGCAGTCTTGGCCTCAGCCTCTGCTGACTGGTACTTCTGTAGCCTCTGCTGTAGAGCCTCCATCACTGAGCCTGGAGCTGGTGGTGCCTTGAACAATTCACGAGCCTCTGCAATACAACCACATTGTAAGGTCATCATTGACATCAGCACCCCTAGTCCTAAATTTGATGACGACAATAGTATCTACCTAACTTAAGTGGCAGTATGCCATTATGAGGTTATTTATGACCAAAGAGCTGGGCCCAGTTGCACAAAACGATCTTAGCATTAAGGTGACCATAACTCCCCATACTTTAACACAGATTTACCATCACCATAGCGCTAAGATTACTTTGTAGAACGGGTCCAGAGCTGGTATTTTATGATTTGTGTAACATTTCACTGACCATGGAAAACAACACTGCATCCAAATATGCATCAAGTGGATGTTTCGATGAGTTCTTACCCTCTGCTGATGGGGGTTGGGGAACTTCTTCAGCCCCCTCAGGTTCGGGCGGGGCAGCCTGCTTTGCAGCTCGTTCCACTCTGGGTTCTGTTTGTGGTTGTGTTGTTTCTTTGATCTGGGGTCCTGAGTACAAACACGTTGGTCATACTGAGTACAAACACGTTGGTCATACTGAGTACAAACACATTGGTCATACTGAGTACAAACACATTGGTCATACTGAGTACAAACACACAATACAGTTTCAACTTTCTTACAAGCTTTTAGAAGCTGGTACTCTCTGAGATGTATATATGATCACACACTTCTGAAAATCTTGCATTTATCTTCCATTTCTCACCTCCAAATTCTGGTGGCGATGGCGGCATCTGGGACAAGTCTATCGGTCGTCCGTCACCTGCGGCAGCCATGACACTGTCAAATTGCTGGAGACAAGAGATGGATGCGTGAGGTGGGCATGCAGAGGATACTTCTGGATATGTTTGTTTGTTTGTTTTTTTCATGCCACATTCAACCAAATGATGGTGGTATGTAAACAATCTGGTCTGGACCAGACAATCCAGTGACAGACATCATGAATATCGATCCACACAACTGGGATATGATGTTACATATCAACCAGGTCAGCAAGCTTAACCACCAGATCCCTGAGTAGCCTCTTGTCACAAGCATGGAGTACTGAAGACCAATTCTAACCCAGACCTTCGTGGATCTTGTTAGAGATGTCTGGTGGTGCTGTTTTGTGTTCAGCTTATATTTAAATATCCTTTAACAAAACATTACAACATAGTTTCTTAGAAAAAGATAACTACCAACTTTTAACACCAAAACATCTTCATAATGTGCTAAATATACTACTCAGACTTAGAAGGAAGTGCATCAAATTGTGTGCATCTGTTGAAATAGCCAAATGTAGTATTGCATGAAGTATGTTTAGTGAATAAATGTCTGTGGTCATGTGCCATAGAATGCCATAAAGCATTCTGGCCAGTCATCAGTAGGTAAGCTGTCAAAATAAAAATATCAGACCAAAACTGAAATGACCAAACAGCAGGGAAAAAGTTCTGAGTATCGTACATGTGACTGACATGACATGATCAGTCTGTTACTGCCCTTTCATGGTCTCAGTAAGTGTCAGAGGGATGATTATTTCACTCTTCAGTAAGGGTATTGCCAAGTTCCTGTACAGTTACCAAAGGACAGTATTCCTATTTTGTCTATTATCAACTGTTATCCATCATGAAGAGCAATTGTGAGCAGCAGATCCCATAAAAAACACATCTCAAGTGCAAGCTGAGACCCATCCAACTCCAAAATGTGGTGTGGGCAGGGTGAAGTGTTATGACTTACTTTACAGATCTTGACATATTTAGCCGCAGTGGGGAGATCATTGTTCTTCCTGGCCATCAGAGCGGCATTCTTGTACTGGTCCCTCCTGGTCTGCAGCACCTTCAGCTCATTGACATCTGGTGAGTGAACGAGTAAGGTTTATTCCACTTTTAACAATATCACCTTCAGCTCATTGGCATCTTGTGAGTGAATGAGTAAGGTTTATTCCACTTAACAATATCACCTTCAGCTCATTGGCTTCTGGTGAGAGAAAGAGTAAGGTTTATTCCACTTTTAACAATATCACCTTCAGCTCATTGGCATCTGGTGAGTGAAAGAGTAAGGTTTATTCCACTTTTAGCAACATTCAAGCAATATCACAGTGGAGGTTTCACATATACAGTATATTACCGTAGATAAGCTGAATTTTGAGGACCAGAAAAAGCAGTCTGTAGAAGGGGGTCAGCTTATCTATGGGGTACACTTTCGTCAAACATTTTCTCAGGGGGTAAGAAACGACATCATATCACTTCACGTGAACAAACAAGAGAAGACAACTTCATCAGTAAGGACATCAAATGTGCAATTAAACATCACAAGACAAGATTATTTACCCATTCAGTTTTAATTTGATTTTACTAGGCATTGTACCAAGTTGAAATCCAACACTGGCTGTCAGAATGACGGGAAAACACTTTCTACTCAAGGCTACTCCACACAATTAGAGGGCATGTCAAGATGTATCTATGCACCATGAAATTTAAATGGTTATAGCTTATGTAATTTCCTAACATTATATCTATGAAGTTTTCCAATAGATCTGCCTGATTGCTCCCGAGGTTAGGGCTACCTTACCACAATACACTTAATCTGACGGTATGATCGTATTGGAATAAACCTGGTAGATCACAACAGCCTATTGATTCTTATATCACCTAGAACACATGGACAATGACGAATTCTCAAACAGTGTGAATCTCATCAAAATCTCTGAATCTGATTTAAAAGGTGAACTTTCTAATCAGCTAATCAGCTTTGAGGCTCCTAAATTCTTGGCATGAGCATTCAAAGCATTTTGACTAAAATCTGATTTCTGTATCTCGAAAACAATTTAGAATAATAAACATGATAAAGGTGTTGCTATTATATTTCAGTGGACATCTTCTATAAGAGCTCTTTACTGAGCACCACAGCAGCTACACCTGAAAGGGTTTACCATCGAAGGTATAGACATCGTACAAGCATGATGTGTAGCTTTTCTTTTGATGAGATAAAAATTACTGCACTGACTTATTTTGCCTTTTGTACATCTAGGTGGTAGATTTGCCTCTAAATGTGCACTTGAGAATACTGAGATTAATGCTTCTTAAAATACAGAAAATAAAACAGAAGCCTATCACATTGTTCTCATTTCAAAGAAACTGAACACCACAATTTCCACGTCTTTATATAACAGCCAATAACTCACTTGCTGCCGGAGCTGGTGGCGTGACAGGAGGTTGGTGAGGCACAGTCGGCTGTACACGAGGAGCTGGAAGCCACAAGGAGTGAAACAAGGGTTACTGTCAGACTGATATCTATTGTCCTGGAGCAGGGGATGGTTGTGTCGGAGTGACACATGTTTAGGTAGGGATTTATCGAGATGGTTGTGTTGGAGTGTCACATGTTTAGGTAGGGAGTTATCGAGATGGTTGTGTCCGATTGTCACATGTTTAGGTAGGGATTTATCAAGATGGTTGTGTCGGAGTGACATGTATAGGTAGGGATTTATCAAGATGGTTGTGTAGGAGTGACATGTATAGGTAGGAATTTATCGAGATGGTTGTGTCGGAGTGACATGTATAGGTAGCGATTTATCGAGATGGTTGTGTTGGAGTGACATGATGCTTAGACAGGGATGAACCGCTGAAAGGTTGTGTTAAGTTGTGGATTTTTCAGGGACTGGATTCAGTTGCAGACATACCTGGAGATAGTTGTTTAGGTGGGGATGGTTGTTTAGGTGGGGATGGCTGTTCAGCTGGCTGTAATGGAGAGACATCATGTTTCGGTGAGGACTGAGCTGAGACAGCACCGAGTGCTACAGGGGGAGGAATCTCACTCTCCTCAACAGGTTGGCCTGACTTGGCTCTCTTACACATGTCGGTCAGTGTCTGGAAGAAACACAGTACCACATGGAGGTAGTGTTGAAGCAAACATCACATGACTAGCACTAAGACAATGTTAGTACATTCTGAGTTCATGTCCACTGCATTCCTCCATCTCCATGAATATTCATTGCCACAATACAATGTAGTGCAGAGGTGTCAAGTTTTCATAACTAATGAACTGTGGCTTTTTGAACTTATGGAGGGTCAAATGTATTCAAGTCTGAGCAAGAAAGTTTACAGGATGTCACAAAAGTGATGGCAAGAACAAACAGCCTGAAGATGAGAAACAAGGATGGTTGTGGATTGTAAGATGAGAGGTCACTGGTTTGCATGCTTGATGGCTTCCCTATCACTGGATAGAGCAATTGTTTAACCGGATTGGTCACACGGTTCAGTGTGAAAGCACGTGACAAGGTTTGGTTGAGATGTATTTCTGTTTTTGAGAAACACAGTACAGAACGTTTCCATTACATTTTGTGAGAATGAAGAGAAAGCAATAAGTATGAGTCAAAATAAGGTAAAATAACAGCTATTTCTCTGCATTGTAGCCTCACATATTTACAGGTGAAGTAAGGACTATGGTTCTTACTAAGCTGCACCTTTACATCAAAATGGCAACCCAAATCTACAATGGTGAGTGCCTCACAGGTAGCAAAATACATGTTGTGTCCAACCAATCAGAGAGTGGCATACAATGACCTTGACACCTCACCTTCAACCCCCTGTCAAGTCTCCTCTGTTTGGAAGCATCTCCTGCAGCCTTGGCATTGGCCGAGGCCTGTTGGTACATGCTCAACCTCTCCTGCAGTAGGACCACCTGGTTCGAGGTGTTGGAGGCGGGGATCTTCTCAGGGCTGGGGGTAGACTGGGGGGGGGAGGGGCTGTCACCGGTGTTCAAATCCTCCAGCTCAGCCTGGCAACAAATGTGAGTGAATATTGTTTAAAGCAATATATTATATAACACCAAGAATTCAGCCATATTCATTGGCAGAAACCAGTACACGTCATTCAGAAGAAAGGAATAATAAGTCAGGCCCAATAATTTATGGCATTGACTTGAGTTATGAAAAACAGAATGGGAAATACCCAGAAGAGGTATTCCCCAAACCTAAGCTAATAAGACGTCTCCATTTGTTGGAGTGAGTGAGTGCAGCTTTTAGCAATATTTGAGCAATATCATGGCAGGGGACATCAGAAATGTTCTTCACACATTGTACCTATGTGGGAGGGTTGAAATCAGGTCTTTGGTGTGACGAACACATGCTTTAACTCATTAAGCCCAAGAGACACTTGTCTACTCAACACCTGGAACCCCTCGCTGATTGCCCTGCTCGCTGTTGCGAGGCTAATTAGTGCTATTCACAGCTGATTTCCCTGGCAGGTTTCAGGGATGACAGGAAACTGTCTAGTCGTACAAACAAGCTCTGATTGTTTAATTGTGTCGTAAAGATACAAGTTAAAAGAAAGCAGGTGTGAATACATATCATGTATTGCAACGTTTTATGTAATTTTATTGCAAGTTTCTCTTGTAGACCTTGTACATTTCTATTTTATCAATGTATATATATATGTTTTCTTTGTATGTAAGAGATGAGACATACATAAACAAATTCTATCTCTTATATGATTGTGTGAGGTTTTTACAAAACATCAATGACAACGACATTCTACGATATCAGAGTTTTTGCCAATACATTTCTAGTGTATACTGAATATTTCAAGGAAAGTACTATTACGCTAGTCTGTGACTAGCATGGAGCACATTCATAACTTTGTTTCATCTAGATTTGACGCAAAAAACATACGTTATCATACGAACATACATATAAAAAATTGTATAATACAGAGTCCTTGTATAGACATAAAACAAAGAGTCACGTGATAGGGCGTCATCAAATTTCCCAAATAGAATGTGCGGAATCTCAATTGTTCAATATATATATATATATAATTGTTTCATATAAACATTTTACGCACACAGCTAGTACATAAAACATAATGGTTTGCTGTGCATGTAAATATAATCTTCACCTTGATACGAATGAATTTCCAAATTAAAGTACACGTATTATAGAATTCAAAAAGTGACACGATACTGAATTATTATAATGTATAAACTTGCAGTTTAATCCCCCCAAATATTTATGAAGATGGGCGTGCCTATATTTAAACTGAATGTAAACGAGGTTCATAAGATTACAGATGTGCATGTATGCATAAACATTACAAAGAGGGGTGTGACTCCATAAAGCAGGTTGTCCAATGATATACCATCGCATCTGTTTATTTTACACTTGTCACTGGACAAACCTTTCAACAAGGGTGTACAGTAACTACACATGCATTCTACCAGAGGCTGTTATTTCAAGGTCGAAAGAGGTGTTCAGTTATCTCATTACTGTAATCTGATTGAATGATTATATGCATGTGTATCGATACTGTAACTGATATACTATCCAGCTTTTATTGACAATGGATCAATAAAGACTGAGTTCATTGATACACGAGATAATTACACCGGATTTGATAATTACAGAGATCAAATACAAATGTTTTACACAATGCTTATGTAAATTGCATAGAAAACTGACAATTCAAATCAACTTGAAAACTTTAATATAAATTGTATATTTATATACTTATCCTATCTCATGATTTGCACTTCTCTCTCTTGCTTTGACGCTGAGTGGAACGAATGAGAACTTTTCCTGTAGGCCTCTCTTGTCCATAAGCCCGTGTTCCCCAGGCTGCTCTCCTTATAGGACAGGTCCCTAGTCCCTGGCTAAGTGTGCAGCACATTCCCCTGTCTACCCACTTGACTACCTCAGAGTGATCATTCTCTTCTTGGAGCCAATGACAGTTATACGCAACTGTTGTAATCTGAGTAGAGGGGAGGCTGGGTGGGCATCCATTTCGTGAGATAGGATAAGTATAAAAATATACAATTTATATTAAAATTTTCAATTTTTTAAACTTATCCTATCTCACGATTTGCACTTATCCCAAGGTTGGACGGCGGGTCACAGATTACCCTAAGTCAAAAGGCACTGACAGTATATACTGTATAGGCTAATGACAACCGTAGATAGCAATGAACAAGGGAGGCTGGATCTGACCAGCATAGTACTTATACTTGTGATGGGTTCTCCAGAACCCCTTGGCTTACTAGGCATCATCACTCCCAAGGAGTGCGTGCTCCTGAGCAATGTGGCGTTTGGCCCCAGGATCCGATTAGCTTAGTACCTATACTAGTGATGGGTTCTTCTGAACCTCTTGGCGTACAAGGCATCATCGCTCCCAAGGAGTGGGTGCTCCTGAGCAATGTGGTGTTCGGCCGCAGGATCCCATCATCGCTCCCAAGGAGAGGGTGCTCCTGAGCAATGTGGTGTTCGGCCACAGGATCCCATCATCGCTCCCAAGGAGTGGGTGCTCCTGAGCAATGTGGTGTTCGGCCACAGGATTCCATCATCGCTCCCAAGGAGTGGGTGCTCCTGAGCAATGTGGTGTTCGGCCGCAGGGACCCCATCATCGGCTCCCAAGGAGTGGGTGCTCCTGAGCAATGTGGTGTTGGCCACAGGATCCATTCATCGCTCCCAAGGAGTGGGTGCTCCTGAGCAATGTGGTGTTCGGCCGCAGGATCCCATCATCGCTCCCAAGGAGTGGGTGCTCCTGAGCAATGTGGTGTTCGGCCACAGGATCCGACTAGCATAGTACCTATACTAGTGATGTAGTGATGGGTTCTCCTGAACCCCTCGGCTTACTAGGCATCATTGCTCACAAGGAGTGGGTGCTCCTGAGCGATGTGGTGTTCGGCCACAGGATCCGACTAGCATAATACCTATACTAGTGATGTAGTGATGGGTTCTCCTGAACCAGTTGGCGGACTAGGCATCATGGCTCCAAAGGAGTGGGTGCTCCTGAGCGATGTGCTGTTTGGCTGCAGGATCTGACTAGCATAGTACCCATACTTGTGATGGGTTCTCCTGAACCTCTTGGCGTACTAGGCATCATCGCTCCCAAGGAGTGGGTGCTCCTGAGCAATGTGGTGTTCGGCCGCAACCCTTGCATACGCAAGAAAACGTAACTAGCCAAGTCACCTTGCTTCGCCATGATTTATCAGAGTGCCCCTGTAATTACGAGTAGTAAACGGGCCCGTACCTGCTTTGAGACTGCCCCCCAGACCCCATCACGAAGAGGGGAAAAAGAAACTGAATCGGAAAACCTCACAAGTTTAACGTTCAGTACCAAAACAACACCACATGACTTCCACTACTTACCACAGTTAAGTCACAACGGTGTGCTAAGGTACTTAGGAGCTAGAATGCTACGAAATCCATAAGGAAATCGGAAGGACTCACTGCACTGATGTGATAGCTCTGTGGAGTAGAGGTCAGCAAGCGAAATTGTCGAACACTTCTACATACGTAGGAAGCAACGACAAGGTAGGTCAATAACTACCAAGATCACTACATGTGATAGTTTGAAGCCATTGACTTACTAAGCACAAGTGCTCCCAGGGACTGGGATTCCTGAGCAATGTGGTGTTCAGTCACTACCTTCACGAAAGTGAAAGGACGCAGCTTAGCGAGTGTAATCAGTCGCATTACCACGATTTCCAAGGTACCCCCATAATAAAAGTCTAACGACTAGTATCAGGCCAGCCCCTGCTGCAAAACAACCCCCACAGACACCGTCCCGTGGAGGGTGAAAGGGTAATTGAATCGGAAAACTCACAATTTTAACGTTCATTACAACATCATCTTATGACTTCCACTACTGCCCACAGTAAGATCACATAGATGTGTATAGGTACTTTTCGGAGCATGAATGATACAAAGTGTAACACTTCGGGAATGACTCACTTCACTGACGTAATTACTCCATAGAGCAGACGACAGTAAGTGAGGTGGCGACTCTCCAGAGTCTCAAATTAAATTGAGTGGCGAAATCTAAGTCCCGGAAGAATCGAGGACACAAATCAGAAATGAAATTTAGAATTTTATTCAGATTGTACACAAAGCAGAAATGATCGCAACTGGTGATCATCTGCGCTGAAGCTGATGGTTGTACTGAGTGGCTAACAGGTCTACATCTGGTCGTGATAACAGGTAGATCATCGATTGGAATATCAGGGGCAGTATTTTCCACCCCGTGGGTGCTTGATGTTTGGGATGTGACAGGCCATTGGCAATGACATTCCTCGTCCCCGGAATGTGTCGGGCTCTGGCCACTATGTTTAGTGAATCGATCAGATGATAAATTTGAAACATCAACTTAAGCAAAGCTGCTGATCCTGTCGACCCCTGTTGGTTTATGTACCAAACTACCATCGAATTATCTGATTGAAAACAGTATATGACAGGACCGTAATTCAACTGCCCAAAACCAAACGGCAAGAATGACAGTGCTGAATTCCAATTCGTTGATATGAAGGGCCCTTTCTCCTGATGACCACTGCTAGGCCACTTGATGGAGAAAGTGAGCGCACCAGACCCTGAGAGATGCGTCAACAAACAGGTGTTGAGTGGGTATGACTGACTGACTGACTGAGTTTGGGTTTACGCAATATTCCAATATTCCAGCAACATCACGGCGGGGGACACCAGAAATGGGCTTCACACATTGTACCCATGTGGGGATTTGAACCCGGGTCTTTGGTGTGACGAGCCAATGCTTTAACCACTAGGCTACTCCACTGCCCCAAGTCAGTATGAAGGCACCATAGACAAACATAGGCACTCCACCGCAAACATTCCACTCGTTGAGCCACCAACGAAAGACTGAATGTATTTTTGCGGGAAAATGTATCAACTCCCTGGGGTTGTTGTCCCGGATGTAAGGGCACACAGAAACATCCGAAGAGGGCAAAGCTGCAGCTGGCCCCTGTAAGTCAGCGATTGTGCCGACGTCAACCACCCTAGTAACTTCTGTGGGCAGAGCTACATAGGCGAAACTTCCCGACCCATCAACACCCGGGTGAAAGAACCCCAGACCTCTGTTACCAATTCTGACAGCAAATCAGCCATTTCCGACCACATCAAAGCAAGCCCCAATCATCAAATAGAGTGGTCTGACATCACCATTCTCTCTAACAAAAAAACAGACTTCACTAAACGCAAGCTCACCGAAGCCATCCACATCAAACGCCAAATGCCCACCATCAACCGAGACCAAGGATACTTCATTCCATCCGCTTATGATGCACTCATCCACCAAGCCCAATCTACTGTATAAACTCTGCTGTATAAACATCTCATTATTATTTGTACATCATTGGCTTCCATGCCTGTCCTTTGTCTCCTCTCTGGCTTCATCAGCTTCCTGCCTAGCCAATTATGTTAATTATGTTGTTTTCTTTGTTACATTGTTACATCCAGTATATATATACTTCCCCCTTCTTTATGTCCCATTATGCTTGACAACGGTACAAGAATCTGTATCGAAACGTAGCACTTACGAATAAAAAGAAGTTGTTATTCATAAAGTTCCACTAGCTCAATTGCTGGCAAGGTCCGAGGAACAGATTATTGACGAATGCTGACAGTTCGATGAATGCCAACAATTCAGTAATCTGGAACAGCCAGGTGAACTTAACCCGTGATAGGAAGCTGGTTCGGCCTGGTGAAGCGGTATGAGTCGGGCTGGTAAATCGGTTCAGGGTGGTGAGCGGAGCGTTGATGTGATCTGAATCAGTCCGTGATCTGGACTGGTGTTGTGATCTGGATTGTGACTGTGATCTGGATAGGTTCGGTAATCGAAGCATTTAAATGATCTCAGCTGATGGAGAGATCTTAGATCGATCAGATGAACCGGTGGCCGAGGTGAAATGTTCCAACCCGGTGAATTGGTTCAACGTTGAATGAAGCGTTTAGGAGAAGAGATGAATTTCGGTGCTGTTCAAATCGATGGTGAATGTGATAGAAGTTCTTAATATTATGGCGAATTGAGTCGATGTCGTAATTGGTGCTGTGAAACCAGTTCGGTCAGGTAAAATGATTTGGTATGGCTCCGATTTGGTGTGGTGAATTGGTTTTCGCGATTTTGTGATGTAGATGCTGTGAATCAAATCTGATGATGTACCAATAAAATCATCACCTTCCGACATGGGAATCACCGGACGACGAGCAATTAATACCTGTCGTTGAAAGCAGGGGTTTTGCCCGGTGATCAACTGTTAAAGTGTAATGAGCTCTGTCTGCCAGCCAACGGGAGCAAGCATGTCTATATGCTCTAAAAACGTCCTTGATAAGGGAGCACATTCCCAACAACGTTTGCTCCAGGAACACAGGTCAACACACACATGACGAGTGGGGATCGAAGGATGAAAATATTGTTACAGTGTGCGTAAAATTACGCTACTTAGGGTCAACTACCCATGATATATTTCTCATGTTAACTTGTAAGGAAAAGCTGAGAACTCTCACAATACGTCCACACAGTGGTGCGACAAGAAGAAGAATGATCACTCTGAGGTAGTCATGTGGGTAGACAGGGGAGCGTGCTGCACACTTAGCCGGGGACTAGTAGGGACCTGTCCTATAAGGAGAGCAGCCTGTGGAATACGGGCTTATAGACAAGAGAGGCCTACAGGGAAGTTCTCATTCGTTCCACTCAGCGTCGAGTCAAGAGAGAGAAGTGCAAATCGTGCGATAGGATAAGTTTAAAAATATGAAACTTTCAACAGCTTGAACAAAAATGCTTGAAGTACCTTTGTATGGTTTATTACTTCTTTCTATGTCTAAGAATTTTTTGAATTATTAACTTGCTGTGTTTTGTAACAAACGTAGTTAAAGATTTCATTGTTGTAATAACACTGGCGTGTATATATATTCGATACAAAGCTTAACTTATCCCTTTTATTCGATTAGGTAACATTATCAACTTTAGATTATGGAGAATAACTAGTTACAATTCAGTAAGCTTTAAATTAGTAAGTTAAATTATGTCTAATCTATTCGAGCTTGGATGTATAATTATTTGTGTTTATCCATTATGTTTCATTATATGAAACATGACAAGCGTAATAATACCTAAAAAGTAAATTCAAACTATTCTATTGTGTGTGAATTCTTTGTATGTCCTTGAAATTTCGTATATTGTTTCCTATTTATTAGGAAGTTGAAGAAAATATAATCTTCATTAACCTCTAAACCATTACATCTAATTTAATCAATGTGCATAAGAAGTATTTTAGTATCCATTCCCAATGAAGAGTACTAGACACTTACCTCTGTAAAAACATCATAATCCCCTCTCTTGCCGACATAATCATATGATAATGATTAGCAATTGCTATCAAAACTCTTTAAATCCTTCTTCTGATTGACACTAAAGGTAGCATCTCTTTTAAAAGAACAACACACATATGCTTCTCTCACCGAATAAGAGGTGCTTTCTGTTGATGAATATATGTGGGTCTCGCTGTGAGAAACTGCCAATTACCTGCCCCATAAACATGTCACCCGCTGTGAGGAGCTGATTAATCTGCCCCATATATGCGGCTCTCGGACTTAATGAGTTAAGCAGTAAGATACCCCACCAAATCTGGAACCTTCTGAAGCTATTGTGGCTAATACTATTTGACAGTAAGATACCCCACCAAATCTGGAACCTTCTGAAGCTATCGCAGCTGATACTATTTGACAGTAAGATACCCCACCCCCTCTGGAACCTTCTGAAGCTATTGCGGCTAATACTATTTGACAGTAAGATACCCCACCCCCTCTGGAACCTTCTGAAGCTATTGCGGCTAATACTATTTGACAGTAAGATACCCCACCCCCTCTGGAACCTTCTGAAGCTATTGCGGCTAATACTATTTGACAGTAAGATACCCCACCCCTCTGGAACCTTATGAAGCTATTGCAGCTAATATTATTTGACAGTAAGATACCCCACCCCTCTGGAACCTTCTGAAGCTATTGCGGCTAATACTATTTGACAGTAAGATACCCCACCCCCTCTGGAACCTTCTGAAGCTATTGCGGCTAATACTATTTGACAGTAAGATACCCCACCCCTCTGGAACCTTCTGAAGCTATTGTGGCTAATACTATTTGACAGTAAGACACCCCACCCCTCTGGAACCTTCTGAAGCTATTGTGGCTAATACTATTTGACAGTAAGACACCCCACCCCTCTGGAACCTTCTGAAGCTATTGCGGCTAATACTATTTGACATTGTCAATCTTGTTTTGTTTCCTTATTATGTAATAAAACAATTACAGACTTATAGACAAAAAACATGTCTCTGGTGAAGATTAAGGTAAAATCACATATAACTTGATTACATATGGAGATTACCTGAACATAACTTGTCTTTTGATCGCTCATCCCCACAAACAAATATAGCAAACTGCCTACAAACAAGAAACTCAAGTTTGCTTAACCATAATAAATTAATAATTTCATCAATTATCTTTATCCATACACTGAAAATTTATGATATATTATGTGAGAAAATATGCATACTCAGTATAAGAAGATTGACTGTCTTTGAATCCCATTCAACCAGTAAGACTGAGGCAGAGACTTTGTCTTATGTGCATGCCTTCTTAAACAAATTCCAATTATATGACAGCATGAGCTTGATGTGGGTGGAACACTGAGAGTGATAAAGATCCCATTTCCCACGTTGGTGAAACCCACAGGTCAGATATGGTGCTGACAAGGCTAGAAATATATTCAGGGCAAAACCAGATTCAAACCCACAATTACAGGTTTCTAGAGTGCCAAATAGATGTAACCCTGCACAGAAATTTGTGGCACCTTAGACAACTGGGCTACCTATGTCCCACCTCCCCATTTTTGTTTAAAAACCAGATGTGATGAGATAAGATGTGTATCAATTACCCTTAGAACACATTATTCAACTGTCTGTACATTTATTCACCTCTGCAATGGTTTTAAGTGACTTTGAAGACACACTGGATTAATGGGAATCATGTTGAGTATTGTAAACCAGCATTTTCCCACTGAACCACCAGGGCAGGGGAATGAAGGTTCACAGAGCACATGGTTTGTGACATTTTCCATCATCCACTGCTTGGTGCATGTACAATGCTGGGATCTGCTTTGTTGCAGGTGTTAGATCTCAGAATGTGGTAGAAGGACACATTTGAACAGGTGAGGTGAGGTGAAATTGGGTTTAATGTCATGCTTGAAAATATTTCAATCATACTTAAGCTGGTTTTATAGTGTTAGCCCACTGAGATATCATGCCGCAGTGAAGCATGAATACCCCACTCAGACACATTATACTGACTCTTGAGCCGACCAGTCCTTGTTGTACCCATTAATGCCGACCGCCAGATGTGGGGACCAACAAGTACCATATTTTAACGTCTTTAATATAAGCGTCATGGGGGATCGAACCCGGGCGACCTTCTGGCTCTCCCATTTGAACAGAGGGTATAGGTATCAAATAGATACAACAAAGACAAACTTTAAAGATAACATTACATCGTGGGTGCTATGTTTTGATACAGGTTCTTGTACCATGGGCAATCAACGTTGTTATCCATAAAGTTTCTCTATATTATTCTTCCCTACTTCAAAATGCCACTCAAAGAAATTATCAAATACACGTAGATACAACAAATGTGATTAATGCATGCATCAATATGAGAAGATTTGGGTCCATAGGTGGAATAAAACATTTTTCCTTGGTTTTGGTCTGAAGAAAACAAAATGCCTCCATTACATCCATCTACCTATGGAGTCCATTCTTAAACCTATTTGATCACAAATGTTTCCTCTAACTCACCAGCAAGTCTGGGTCCTCAGTGTCAGACAGCTCTTCATCACTGCCGATGTCTCTCATACTCTCAGCAGCCATTTTGTTAATCACGGACATGTCCAGTGGAGCTGCAAACAAATTCCAACATCAGGTTCTTTGTTTGTTCTTTAAAGCCGCACTCAGCAATGTTCCAGCTATATGGCGGGGACCTGTAAATAATTGAGTCTAGACCAGACAATCGATCTATGCAAATGGTATACAATGACATGTCTCAACCAAGTCAGCGAGCCTGACCACTCAATCCCAATAGTTGTCTCTTACCAATTCTAACCAAATCTTGACATGTTCATCCTGGCTGTTAACACCACAAGAATCACATAATAGTGAAATGATACCAACAACCACTTTCTCAAAACAAGAGTCATCAGAAGATGACATATCCCCAGCCCCCACATATTTGAAAGAACAAATCAGCTGACAGTTACTTAAAGTCCAGCTTGATGTCTTTTTAGACTAAGTCAAAATCGTTTCAATCGTTAAAAATAAAATCGGCAAACATCTGTAAATGGCAAAGGCACCACTTTAGCTCATGTTTGATATATCTACCAAGTCTTGAAGAAAGATATTGAACGCTGAGTAATGCTCCGAAACAAAATGATTACGGACGGACAGACAAGCTGTCAACTATATCCCCCGCATTACTACCCGGGGATAACAAGCTTCAGAATGAAACCGGACTGTTGTTCCCTTAATTACGTAGGCAGAATGACAGTTACAATGGCAGAATAGTAGATGACAAACTATCTTGTTTTCAAATGAAGCCGAGAGCTCTCAAATGTTAGGAAACAAAGGAAATATATATTGCAAAGATACTGAGACAGGGCGTTCAGGATATCAGTTCCCCCTATAAACAGTGATAAACATATAATCATTATTAAACCAAATCTACATCTCTCTCCAGGATGATGACCAACCTTTCCTCTTGGCTGCTGGTTTCTTTACCTCACCACCAGTCAGAGCTGCCAGCTCCGCCTCCAAGTCATCATCATCATCATCCATTCCTCCATGCATTGTGTCATCCTCCATACCACCAAACCCCATCTGGTCAAATTGAAATCAACACATTGATTTAGGGTCACTAGTAGAATACATTAAGTCTTATCAGTTTATAAACCTTTAAACATGCTAAGTTCAACATTGTCAATAAAGTAAACACATTTCTATTGTTTAGAATCAAAACTGTGTAAACTGGAAATTATTTGTGTTAACCTAATAACCAAACTAATACTACTGCTACTACATCATCGACATAGTTAAATATATACAGTATATAAACCTGATAAGTAAAATTTCAAGGGACTCAGCCAAAATTGTTTACTTATCAGGTATTTTACTTATCCAAACTTATCAAAACCCGGAAATGACGGCAGAACAACAGACAACATTTGTAAGTAATATGACATGTTTTATTCCCTAACATTTCATTGCGTTAAGCTATACATTTATAATACAAAGTAATAAAAATCAAACATAATGAAACAAAATATTTTAGTCTAACAGTCTAACATTTTACTCCACAAAAGATGTCATGAGGGATTGTTTCTTTGTGAAACATTTCTTCATTTCCTTTTCTGTTACATAGTTGGCCACCATGTTGTATCCTGTCATTACTATGTCTCCATCGTCTTGTGATATCACATAACGCCTGGACGATTTCTAGGGCTGCTGTTGTGACATAAGAGTAGGTGGTAGAGGAGGGGGCACATCGTCTTCATCTTCGTCATCACTGAGAAGTTGGGTCCTGGTCCTGGAATCAATAATGTTCTGGGACGATGTCTTGCTCTCTGGCAGGGCAGCTGGTTACTAAGTCATCATCAACACTGGCATACTGCGCAAGAGTGATGTTGTTGACAACTAGGGGTGGCAAGGGCACATCATCCTCAGGGTCGCTGTCATCATCGTCTTGGGTGTTGGTCTGGTCTGAGATCTTGAAGCCTGCATGCAAGTAGCACTTGTTGATTGTCTGGGCTTGGACGCAGTCCCAAGCCTGTCGTAAATGCTGCATGGCATCAAGGACTGTTATGCTTACAGACTCCTTCTTGTCAATGGCCTTGATGAACTTGGTCATCAGCTGCTTTCTGTAGTGGACCTTTAGGGTTGTTGATGACGCCTTGGTCCATCGGCTGAGTCTTTGATGTTGTGTTTGGAGGCAAAAACACAAGTCTGATGGCCTTCAGATTGTCTACATCAGGATGGGCTGGACAGTTGTCAACAATAAGCACAATTCGTCACCGCTTCGGTGCATTTTATTGTCCAACTTAAGTAGCCAACCTTGGAAAATGTTTGATGTCATCCACGCCCTTTTATTTGCAGTGTACTCTGTGGGAAGAGACTTAACATTGTTTGAAACAGCGAGGATTCATTGCTTTGCCTATTACAAGAAGTGGAAGTTTTTCTGTGCCTGTCATATTGGCTGCGACCATGCATGTCAACCTTTCTTTGCTACGTTTTCCACCGTGACAATGAGTGCCTTTAAAGTCTAAAGTTTTTTGTCAGGCAACATTTTATAGAAGATCCCAGTCTCATCTGCATTAAAAATGTCATTGTCATCATATTCTTTAAGCAGAGAATCAAGAGTTTTGTGCCAAGTTTTCATGCTGTCAGATTCTAAATCAACAGAATTTTCTTCACCACAAACTTTTTTTAGGACAATGCCATAACGTGTTTTGAAGCGCCCTAACCAACCAACTGAGCACTTAAAATCTACATGGCCTAACTGACTTGCAAAGTCCTCAGCTTTTGCCATCAAAAGTGGTCCAGATAACGGGATGTTTTCATTTCTTACATTTTTGAACCATGTCAATAAGGCTTCTTCAACATCTTCAAACTTTGACACCCGGGCTCGTTTCCGAGCATTTGAATAACCAGACTGGTGGTAGCATTCCTTAATTTTGTCCGAATTTCTGATCCAGTTGTACAAAGTAGCAGTGGGTATGTTGAATGTCTTTGCAACATCTGACTTTGACACACCACTTTCAATTTCTATAAGTGCAGCGAATTTGTCCTCAATAGACTTTGCCACAAGTTTGCGTTTACCTTTGACAGAACGATCTGATCTCGGTATCCCCCCAGTCACGCTAGGTCCTTCGCGAGATTGCTCAGACATTTTGCCAGAATAGACTGACGATACATATTTTTTCCCTCTGTTTTATACGATAGCATTTGTGTTAAATAAACAAGCATTTTTTCCAATTGATCTTATTCCGATATCGCAGCGAGATTTTACTTGTCACGTGACCGTAATGGCGGCCTGCTTCATGTCATTCACAATGTAAACTGGATAAACTCACTGGGAGACTGACAATGTGCCCCTCATGTCGGATTATGTGGTGATCGCTAATTTAGTTATCCGGTCTCTTTTGTTAAGGAATTTACTTCCAGGGATCGTGAAAAAACCTTTAGTTAAGCGGTATTGTTTACTTATCCGAGTTTAGTTAACCGGACTCTAATAATGATAATTAATGAAGAAATTTGCCGGGACCAAAGAATAGTGTTTACTTATCCGGTATGTTTAGTTAAGCGGTCTTTACTTAAGCGGTTTCCACTGTAGTAAATATATCACGATAACATTGAGAATGGAAGCAAATCATTTATGCTGATCTGCTCACAGGATTCCAAATAAGGATGTCTGTTTGAATCAGTAAAACCAATCAATCATGGTAGCTTGCACATAAATTTTGATACATATGAATTTTTCTTCACTTAATCAAATTTTTTACAATGTCAGAAACACATTTGGTAGAAACATAGAGACAATTGTGGAATTTCTACATTCAGGATGAAACAGATGGATAACAGACAGTTTTAGATCTACACCTTTGATATGACAACAGTGTTATGAAGTTTGGAAGCAAGCGTTTACATCAGTTTGTTAAAAGATACCTGTTTGATGTTGAACAACACTCAATTCTGCACACATGCAATTATTAAACATATTTTCTTGATTCTGAGTTATGTGTATATATGATAAGATAAGATAATTCTTATATATATATATATATATATGTGATTAGTTAGATACTCTAACTATAATAACATCCAGGTCACCATGACATTTCAAGTCTCAAACATCATACACATATACTATCATTGGATATAGATCTGTTATGTTGGTTTGAGTCATCCATTGTTAAGATACAGTGGGTATGGCTCGTCCAGATTTTGAGTACAAGTCTGCCAAAAAGTATGGGTATGGATAGCTATGTTGCCCATGTGTTTAAAATGTTTGGTACCCATATATGTGAGTATCTAACTGATCACTATCCTTTCATCCTAGCTTCAAAATGGCATTGTTAGTTTGAATTCTCCTATAAACACATAATTTCATCATTATTATTTTATACATCTATATATTTTTAATTGAATAAGAAAAGATGATGCCACTTGAAGGATGTGGTTTATTACAAAGGGTTAGTTATCAATTATTAAAAATCTAATTCGGAAATTTGAAATGTATGTCATCCAAACTATGTCGAGAAGCATTTAGGAATCAGATCGTCTTGGCATGTCAAATTGCATAAACATTGATTCAGAGTCGTTGATTTCAAGCTACAGAAATCAGGAAATGGTGACGATAAGGTTGTGATTCACTGTCACACGACACTGTTATTTACGCACACCGACAGACAGATGTAAACGAATCGATAAATCGATGGGAATAGTTTATAAAGTCATAAAACTAATATTCACTTGATTCATTAGCGCTGTCCCCTTCCTCGATTGAGTCTGAGGAGCCTGTTTCTTCTTCCCAAACATTGTTTGCGTTCTGCTTGTTTACTTTCCGGAAGTACCATAAAGTGCAAGAGTTATTTCCCTTTAAAAGCGCCACCTGTAAAAAAAACAAGGGGGATAATAGACTACCGCACCACACACAATCCTTGCTTCAACTGACCCTGGTAGTTAAAACCATGGTTCGATTCCCCTCATGGATACACACCGAGAACATTTCGTCTTTTCAACCAATGTTATTTTTTTGCAATCATGCTAAAAGCGACGTAAAAGCTTACTATGACTTTCGTGTATTCAGTAAGACTTGTTTCATACAAATGCATTAATATCAAATATACGTGACCGTTCGCTTCCCATTCAGTTTGGCAAGATAGAGATGAACTTCAGTAGTAGTCGTCTCACATTATAGGGTTAGTTGGACATATATCAGTTGGTGTTTCTATGTTCTGCATACAACAAAATAAATAAGCGACATCTTCCATATAGGTTCTAGAGCATTTAAGCGATCTAGTTAAAATAACACATTTGAAAGACATACAAACCAAAGTAGTTTACATGAATACAAAAAAAAGAAATTATGCTTTGCTTGGTTCTGGGATCCTTTTGGTTTCTACAATTATTTTGTTCGTAGATATACTTTTTACATCAATTCTGCGACTTAATGACTTTTAGCAATATTCCAGCAATATCACGGCGAGGGACACCAGAAATGGACTTCACACATATATGTGGGGATTCGAACCCGGGTCTTCAGGGTGACAAGTGAACACTTTAACCACTAGGATACCACACCACCCTATTCCCAGGGGTCACGGGGCTGTGAACACACATAATTATTAGCTTCAATACAAACAAAGGTACCACAAACAGTCTTTTCGAGATACAGAGAGCGAACATCATGCAGCATTTGAAGACTTGTTTCATTTTCCACTCCGTCAGTCACAAGATGTTTTTGTAAGTTGATCAGTAGGTGGGTATCCATCATCCAGCTATTTGTCCCCCTGTTTCATCTGCTTCCCGGACCTTAAGAATGTCTTGGGATTCATTTCACTCATCCAGCTTGTTTTGTTAAAATGCATGAACTTTAATG